ACCCAGCACACACGGGCTGCGACAGGAGGACAACCAGCCCCGGCAGGGCTCGGCCGGGCGTTCTCCCGGGTCTGGAGCCACCCAGGCTCCGCAGGCAGAGCCCGGCCCCGCGAGAGACCCCGCGGAATTCACCAGGTGCTGCAAGACCAGCTCCGACACCCCTGCTGCGAGCCACCCCCTCCCCGTCCGTCAGCGCAGTCCTTCGTCTCCCTTGGAAATGTTTCCTTACAGGTGTTTAACAATTTCATACACTTCTCGAGGCTGAGCGTTCAACTTCTGAAACACGACTAGAAGATAAACTTTTTTTTTTGACTACCTAGAAATAACCCAAAGCTCACCAACACATAACTTCATTGTTTCAGTAATGTTACTGAGAGAGAACTGAAAACACCTGCACCACCACATGACTGTGAGGCATGTCAGCTGTAAGCCACTGAGAAGTGAACTTCACAGGTAAAACGTGGTAAAGCCTTCATGGAAAACTTCCAAGTGGTGTTGAAAAGGAGTAATCAATCGAATGACCAAAATCTACGATTACCTACTTACTCTAATTCAAACTTATTACAAATGTCATCAGAAAAACTAAGTAACATTTCTACAGCATACATGTACAGACTCTGTCATTTTATGCAGCTGCTGGACACGCTACAAAAGCATCAAGGTGACCAAACCCCTTCACCAGGTGTGCTGCCAGTCCCAGAGCCAGGCAGGGCCCGTCAGCCAAACACAGGAGCTGTCAAGGAGAGGTGACATGTCTGTCACTTCAGGGTAATGGTCCTTTATACAGAAAGGTGAGTGTCCAAAGCTCAGCACAATACTGGTGTAAAACACAGCGTATCATGAGGTAGAATTAAAAAGGTAACACTCAGTGCATATTCACAGGCATAGCGTTACAGTCACCAGGGATCCACCAGTCTGAGGAGGTTCTGACAGGAAAAACAGAAAACAGCCTTGAAACAGACAGATCTACCCAAGAACCACCTCGGTCCTGTGGGTGCTCCTTCACCTCCACAACAAACACTGTGCAAGCCCGTGAGAACTCTAAGATTCTCTCAAGTCTCCCTGTAATCTCTTCCATGATGTGTAATAAAACATTAAATAAGGTGAGAAAACAGCAGCCTGGCAGTGGGACAGCAAATGCTTGGGGAAAAGCAGCTGTGGCCCTGGACAGGACCTGGGCTTTTTTCCCCCCAAACAGCTTGGCCCATTATAAACTCCTTGTAGCTCTTCTTTTGCAGAGAAGTCTCGTATCCCATGCTTGTCCCCAGGTTTCCCACACACTGTGCTCCCAGGGCATTGGGAAGCCAAGGGAAGTGCCCCGAGCTGCTTTAACAACTTAGCAGACCCAGCTGCCCCACCTGCTCAGGCCAGCAGAAGGGATGTTTGTCTTCAGACTGCCAAACACATAAAACTGAAGGCTTTGTATTACCTAAGAAATTCTCCAAAAGAGGAAACTTGGGATTTTTTTCTCTCGTAATGCAGAGGCTGAAGTTTCAATGATTTCTGCATCAACACCAGGGTATACAACCCACATAAATACAAAGCTACAGAAGGGTCCTCAGGCTTACCTTTCCAGCTCTCTCACGTCCATAAATGTTGTCTTTATCCCCAAATATGTTTTGCAAAAGGCTTTGTAAGAGTCAGCTTTGAACAAGTGTGCTCCGTTGAGCCAGAGAGTGAACCTGAACACCAGCAGGTGACAGTCCTTTCAGGTAAAATTCCCTGCTGAACTTGAGTGTGTGACTGGTCTGCAAAACTTCAGTGAAATGCTAAAAAACCCCCATCTTGGAACATGTAAGTGATAAGAATGTTATAAACTGATATGGATGTACAAGACTGAAATACCTGTGCATTTACAAGGTTAGCTCTATTAACTCGAGGGATGAAATGTGGCATTCACACTTTGGGTGTGACCATTGAATCACAGAGTACCCTAAGCTGGGAGGGACCCCCAGGGATCACCCAGTGCCACCCTGCCCTGCCCAGACCCCCCAGCAATCCCCCTGGGCACCCCTGGAGCTCTGTCAGCCTCTCGGGGCCGTGCCCATTCCCTGGGGAGCCTGGGCAGTGCCAGCACCTCTGGGGGAAGAGCCTTTCCTGATGTCCATCCCAAATCCCTGGCCCAGCTCCAGCTGTTCCTGGGTGCTGTCCCTTGTCACAGAAGTGAAGAGATCACTACCTGCCCCTCCAGTGCCCCACAGGATGTTCAAGAGCACAGTGAGATCTCAGGTTCCTCCAAGCTGAACAAACACAGTGATCTCAGCTGCTCCTCCTACGGCTTCCCCTCCAGACCCTTTCACTGGGGTGAGCATTACCATGTTTCACACCCGATGACAAGCCTGGTTAGATCCAGACAGATCTCACTTTTGACAGGTTTGCTTTTAATCCCCTCCCAAACTGACAGCACATGTGAAGAAACGCTCATCTGGAGATACCAGGGACACGTCCAAATTCATTTCTCCCACAACAAGAGTGCAGGCAAGGCGTGTGTGGAAAAACATCACCAGAAAGCCGGCATGTTTGAGATGTGGGGTGATGTGGAAAGTCCCCTGCAACAGAACCCTGTCAGAGGAGGGGCCAGAGCTGCCCTGCTGCACGAAGCCAGAGAGATGCTCCAGGCCAGGCTCTCCCTAGTGCTGAGGGGAGCCTGCCTGTGCAGGGGGTGGGCCTGGGTGACCTCCAGTGGTCCCTGACAGCCTAAGCCACACTGTGACTCATTTTTCTAGTCAATGACAACCACATTAACATAGAAATAAAAGCAAAATTCCTTTTTCTTTCTTTTCTTTCTTTTTTTTTGTTTGGGTTTTTTCTCCTTTTTTTTTCTTTTTTTTTTTTTGTGTGAGAGTAACTAACCGTGTTGCTGACGTAGACGAGCAGCCCATTATCTACTAATCACCACAGAGTTGTTTCAGCGACAGAAGAGGAAGCAGAGGTGAGGCAGTCCAGCTCCTCTGGGACAGGAGTACCTGGGCACCCTGCCCCTCTGTGTTGTTCCAAACAGCCCAGTGGAGTTGTGCTGAAGGAAACAATCAAGTATCAGGGTACAAACGCAGCAGGACAGCAGCCCCGTGGCACAGCATCAGCAGGAGCAGAGGGCTGCTGGCAGGGCCGCAGGCTCGCAGATGCAGGACCAAGATCCGCACGGTGCTGACCTGAAAAATCCTCCCATCGTCACGTCCCGAGACCACGGTCACCGTGACCTCCTCTGGATTCAGAGATTTTGGAGAGAGCACACTTCCACTAAGCTGAAGTAAAACCCACGAACGTCCATCCACAGGTGCCGCTGCCGTGCCTAGAACTTTGGCTGGTAGAGGGAGACGCGTCCGCTAAGGCACCCCGAGGCGATCTGACAGTGCGTGGGGGAGAACTTGGTGGTGAGCACCACGTCGTTGTGGGAGTAGAGCGAGCGGATCTCGCGCAGGGGGCTGGCCTCCCGCGGCAGGCAGTCCACCAGCTCGCTGCAGTGCGCGTCGAAGCCCAGCAGGCGGATGCCGAAGCCGTGCGGGGACGAGATCATGCGGCCGTCGGGGCTGAAGCAGAGCTCCTTGATGTAGCCCCGGCCCACGTTGGCCTCCTCGATGCAGTGCGTCAGGCGCAGGGAGCAGCGCGGGGACACGGGGCGCACCGGGGCTCCTTCCTGGAATTCATAGACACAAGTCCACTAAAGGGAGAGGCAGAGAAAGGGACACTGAAAGAGAAGTAAAGCACTGCAAACACACATTCCCTCCCCCTGCACCTCAACAGCTGTGTCAACAGGCAGTGGCACGGGAGGGCGATGCTCCTGCTGACCTGCTCCCCAGTGAGCACCCCGAGCAGCCCACTGCCCCAGCACCTCCCTCCCCTGCCCAGCCAAAGCAGCTGCCCAGCACTCAAGAGCTATTTTAGTTAAATGGGTGCTAGATATAATCTTTCCAATACAGGTTTCATCTGCGGAGAGCAAGGCCTAATCCTCTGGCCGGGCACCTGCTCTAATTTAGTAAATATTTAAATTAAATCTGTAAAGTCAAATTAAGCTGACTGTAACTTTGAGCAGATCACTGGCATTTTATGCCTTTGACTTCAGAAGGAATGGAATCTTGAAACAGGTAACACATTTTTGAAGGCAGGTTATGAACAGCTCTGCAGAGTGAGTTTGTTATTTGTGAGACACAGTAAGGATCCCTGCCTATCATCTCATTATTTAATCTCAAAACAAATGTAAAAAAAATATATCAATGACAAAGTTTATATTGTGTTAATTCCACTTCTGCCCCTAGACAAACATTCCTAGCTCTGTTTCATGCATCCTTCTGAAATAAGGGAGGGAAAATACTGGTGATTATTAATAAAACAGAGTAAGGCAGACTCCAGGACCAAGGGAAATTATAACTCAGTCAATCATCAGTACCAAGTGACCCAATGTAACAATACAGCCACAAACAAAAATATTCTGTGTTGTATAGCAGTTTGATTGCTACAGAACCAGCATTAAAAGTTATAACAAATCTGCTAAGCTTCCAGCAAGTCCTCGACACTTGTGTAAAGGGTTACCATTACAAATAATGGCTTTCTTTAACAATGACAACAACAAAATAAAACCCAAACAAATACAGACAGACAAAAAAAAATCCCACCAAAACCAAAAGAAGCAAATGAACCTCAATTTACATCAACAATTAAATTAACTAAACCATTTATTATTGGCCAAGTACTA